AAGACGAGCGTGCCCTAAAGACGAGCGTGCCCTAAAGACGAGCGTGCCCTAAAGACGAGCGTGCCCTTAGCCCCCACCGCCTTGCGTCATGCTACCACCTGCGGCAGGCTACAATTTGCGGCCGGCTAAGGGCTTTCAGCCTCGAAGTGTGCCTCTTAGCCCCACCACGACTTGCGTCACGCTACCTTCGGCGGCAGGCTAAAATCTTTTGAGCTTTGAAGTGGGCACCTGCCTCTTAGCCCCACTACAGCTTGCGTCACGCTACCCTTTGCGACCCGCTACCATCTGCGACACGCTACCTCCAGCGGCACGCTACCGTTGATTCGTTAAATCATTGATTGATTGGTTCATAGACTGTCACCCGAGGCGTATATCATGGGCGCATTAAGGCCGTTTCAGACTATGCGACATCTCGATCATTCACAGCTCGACATCAGGAAGGGTCACAAGACGAAGTCATGAACTCGAGCGGCATGATTCTTGAAGTGCATCTTGCCTTTCAGGACAACTCCAGAACAACCCACGTCGTCAGGGCAGGGAATCCGGTCGCCCTCCAAGAACTGGTTGAGCCGGCACCGATCCACATGCCGTTGAAGAGAGAATTTGCTTTTGAAGCGTTGCTGTCGATCCTCCGAAGGAAGATTGCTCGTCAAGCAGAACAGACACTGAAATCCGAGGCATTTTAGAGGACTGCAGCGAGGCATTTTTGGGCGTTTCCTGGGGATCGGTTCAGGCGGTTCCACGAAGGCCAGAGCTGGAGGGGAGGTAGTTTTGGCAGCATGACTTTCCCTCTTCTTACATAGTGCAATCATATTGCGGCAGCATTTGATGTGTCGCAACAAACTCTTCTCTCCGGTGAACCTTGCTGGATCACTGACGGCGGCCTCCGCGATGCGGCGTCGTTCGGGGATCTTGATCATCGCTTCCTCTGCAAGCATGGGTTCGTGGCAGTCAGGGGAATCTCCTCGGATCTGTCTCTGGATGTTGACCACGGGCGCGGTGATGTCGTACTCCTCCTGGATCTGCCTCAACAGAGCCCGTTCGTGAGTGCGTAGGGTGCTATTGATCGCCCGTCCCAAGGCCTGGTAGTCATCGTAGATGGGCTCTCCCTCGGCCATCTTCAAGGCCCCGAACTGTCTGAGAATGTCCATGCGAAGGCGATCGCGACTCGCAAGGAGATCAAGGATGGCTGGAGTCTCGCGGACCTGTGCGCTTTGCTCCTCCGTGAGTTTCTTGGGTCGATTTCGATCGCGAAGCCGGCCAATCCGACTGGCAGCCTTGGCCGATTCGTGGCTGGGCTCGCGGTGCCAAAACGCGTCTTGCGTGCTATATCGAATGATTCGAGAGAGGTAATTACGTT